GGTTAATTTTTCTGCTCATCAAATTTAAGAAACAATCATTTGGAGGGAGGTAGGCGGGACCAAAATATCAGTTTCTCACTGCAAGTCATTTTGTAATACTATAAATGCTTGTGGAAATTTCTAAGAACATTTTGTAATAGGGTCAGGATTTTGCTTTACTGTTCTATTGTCATTGGTGTATTTTCAGTTAAAAACAACATAAAAGCAGGAAACAAGTAGTTATATCTCCCTTTGAACTTGAGCCAAGATGGAAAAGAAGTGAATATTTATTGACTGTCGTACATAAACCAAGCTTGTGCAAATAAATGCTATACATGTATTTAAAACCTCATCTAATCCTCACTTTAATCTTACAAGGTATAGAAAGAGAATAAAGCCTGAGATCACTCAGCAATCAATAACAACTTAAATTTCACTTTACTTTTTTTTTTGTCTTTTATACATCCTGCCCCTTGGAGACTGTGATGCTTATTTTTGTCAATTTACTTCATGATTTGCATGTTGGTCACTGTTAGGCATAAAATTCCATAGTTAAGTCCTTACTTTCATAGAATTTACAACATTCTTGAGGGAGTAATTCTTATCAAATAGAGGTAAGAATTTTGACAAAAAAGAATACGAGGGAATGCTGGATTCTATTTTATACTGGTAGTCAGGAAAGGTATTTTGATAAGGTAACAATTGAGCAGGGACCTGAAGGAAATATATCTTCTCTCCCTTCCCTCCAGAAGATCCTTATTCCAGGTGGAGTAAGCAGCAATGGGATTAAAGCTGGAATGTGTTACCGTTTTTGTCATAGTTCTGAAAAGTATAACAATAAGCTGACCTTTCTGATCTTTTCTGTCTTTAGAAGTAACAAAGATCCTTCTGTTTGCTGCACAAGCATCTCATCACTTAGTGCCTCCAGAGGTGAGAACTCTTAAACCGTACTTCTTTCTGAATCTAGTGTGTGCATTGCAGGGCCTCTATTAAGTATATTATGGTGGCTTTTCCCAGAGGAATTACTGTCTTCTCCCTTACTTAAGTGACTAGTAAAGACTAATTCATAAGAATTTACATAGACATTTACAGCAGTTCCATGGTTCACTTGTACAAACAAGAAAATTTTCTATAAAAGGGAACTTGGGGGCAGATTTCTAATTTGTTTAATTGCATATTTTATAAGGGGTGGTCAAGAATACCAGTAAATTTTTTTAAAAGCATCAGTAAATTTAAAGTTAATAATTTCTGTCTCTGATAAACAAAGAGTATGGTATTATCCTGGGTTAAAGAAATGTTTTGAACACACAGAAGAAATAACATTGAGAGCAAAATTTAACCTGAGGTTAGCCGAGAAGGTTGAACCCAAAAGTGGTATTTTTAGCTCTCTTTTGATTGCTTAGTCTTAATTGATTCTAATCCTAAGCCCAAGGTGAAGGGCTGTTTTCCTGCTGTGAATAACTTGTCTCTTCATCCTCGAGGTTCTAAGTGGCCTCATTTTACCAGCACTCATTTCTTTTTCTTTATTCCCCATTCAGATCATTCAGTCATTGCTCATGACAGTGGCCAACAATTTCGTTACCGACAAGAACTCTGGAGAAGTCATGACAGTAGGGTATGTGGGGTGGCGATACTGCTGGGGGCCACGTTTGCTGAACATTCCAAGGTGGAAGATCTCAGCTGGCAGTGTGGCCTTTAGAAAAGCAGTTTAAGATATACTTGTTTTCTCAGGAGACATGGTGCTTTTATCTCATGGCCAGAATTGTGAGGACAGCCCGAGAAGATATTTGTGTAATCAAATTTTCTTTTCCAAAGACAGATTATTTGGCAAACTCATTTTTTTTTCTCTTATCTCCTACACTGAATTTATACCTTTCTGTGGAATAAATGATTTGTTACTGAATCATGCTTGAATCCTAAGACAGTTTGGTAGTCCTTTTGATCAATTCAGAACCACTTGATGAGCGTGAACAGTGATTGTTTAAAGTAGAGATAACTGAGGGATGTGCTGAACTGCTACTATTCTACCTTGGAAAATACTGCTGCCATAACAGCCCTGGCACCCTCCAGCTTTACTTTTTCAGCTGACTCCCTTCTCCCTAAGGATTGTTCAGAGAGGGCACTTCCTTACTCTACTAGCAGAGGAAATGGCAGTGGACTGTTGGGGATAAAAGCCCTCTGAGGCTGCCTACCCTCACATTCTCTACATTCACTACCACATTGCAGTTCTTGAAACCCATGCTCTAGAATACCCAATTTATATTCCTTTTGAAGTCTTGTTGAGGAAGAGTTGTTAGAGTGAACTGTTTGGTTGTTTATTTGTTTGTTTGTTTTTTAAACTCATTTTTCCTTTTCTAGGATCAATGCTATAAAAGAAATAACAGCTAGATGTCCTTTAGCCATGACTGAAGAACTTCTCCAAGACCTGGTTCAGTATAAAACACACAAAGATAAGAGTAAGTTACGTGTTATTCACTGTAGACTAAAGAATACGGAGTCACCACCATTTGTTTCAGTAGACTGATTGCTTCAGAGCTGCTTCTTAAAGGAATTGTCTTACAGATGTGATGATGTCTGCCAGAACTCTGATTCAGCTCTTCCGAACACTGAATCCTCAGATGCTACAAAAAAAGTTCCGGGTAGGTAAAGCATGCAATTGTTCATCTAAAAGTCTCTGATAGGGTAATAACTACAGTTTGAGTTTTAGTATTTGTACTGCTCCCTGACAAGTTTGTTGATATGCACAGTTTTTGTTTTCTATGCTCAGAAGATAATGTATGGAATACCATTGCCTTAAATGTTTTAGAGTTGGCATGTACTGTTATATGATGACTGAGTCTTAAAATCTGTCGGGCTGTTTACTATGAAATGTTTTGACATCATCAGATTGGAACCATAAAGATCATTCAGTAGCTAATGCCAGTATTGAGCAGGGTATTTCCCAGCCATGTACCACTGGTTTGGCAAAGGAAGACACAGTGTACAGGAATAGGTCATATTGTACATCAATTACTTATGCTTCACAGGATAATGAAGCTTTTATAAGACTCTCTCCCTCCCCACACCAGCAAGAGGAATATGACTCACCGAAGGCTAACATAACATTTTTTGGCAATAAATTAAGTTATATACATTTTTCAAGACAAGGCTGTTGTACACTTTAATAAACTATAATATATTGTAAACATTTATGTACCTTGGGAAACCAAATAAATCTGTGACTCACTTTCCTGGAATATTTGCTTTATTTTGGTATTCTAGAAACAAATGTGCATTATCTCTAGTGTGCCTATATGTAGTAGAAAGATCTGTGAGGTCTTTCTCCCTAATAACTGCCATTTTCCTGACCTGGAGCAGAAAATAAAATAGTGGACAGAGAGCTGGGTGACCTAAGGAAGTGTACATGGATACCTTTTGTCATCTAATTCCAGTTTTTGTAGGCCTGTTTTCTTTCTGTTTTTCCATAGTAATAGAGTGTAGGCCAGAGGAGAGGATTCACCAGAGACAGAATGAGGGGCAAAACAGCAGATTTACTGAAGTACACTGCTGAGGGGAACAGTGAATAAGACAGGAGAGGTCCTCTGTGCCATGTGGGTTAGCTCCCTGGCCAGGAATCAAACTTGTGCTGCAGTGACTGTCAAGAGCTTGAAAATACTGAGAGTTAACCCCTAGGCCACCAGGAAGGCCCTGTAGTTCTCGCTTCTAAATTCATAATCCTAGAGAATTCTTTCCATGCATGATGTTTTGAAATCGAAGCACTTTATTAAAAACAATTTCCCTTCCTTTAGGGTAAGCCTACAGAGGCCTCTGTAGAAGCAAGAGTGCAAGAATATGGAGAATTAGATGCAAAAGATTATATTCCAGGAGCAGAAATTCTGGAAGTTGAAAAAAAAGAAAAGAATGCCGAAAATGATGAAGGTTCGTTTTATTTCACCATTATTCAGACTTCTATATCTGTATTGATCTTGAAGTTTTTATGCTCTTTAAACATTCATTCAGCAGGTACTTATTGAGCACTGACTACTGGCAAGCACTGATAGAAGGATCAGATTCAAATGGACGTGGCTCTTGCTCTTAAGGAACTTCCATTCTAGTGTAGGGGATGTCTTTTCAATGTCCTTGAGGGTGACTACCCCTTAATCAACTGCACACTAGACACTTGAAAAAGATAGTGTCTTTTTTGTTTGTAGAAACAAATAAAGAAGTAATGAAGAGGATTAGTCCTTAGCATGGTCCAAAAGTCTGTTGTAGGGAAGTCCTTTGATGAGCTTGTTGAAGGTTGAATGAGGAACTCCATTCTGATATGCACAGTTAACTTTTGTTATATTTGATGCTGGAGTGATCATCGTTCTGTTGTTTGTTTATTCGTTGTTTAAGCAGAGGTTTCCTAAGCATCATGTGTGTGCCAGTTACATCAGTGCAAATATGAATGAGAGGGTTTCTGCCTCTGGGGACTCTTCATTAACAGCTAACTAGTAAACAGGCTTTATTACTAGTTTTATTACTAGAGTGGGGCATAAAGAAGGTCACATCCACCTCAAAGGTTTGAGAAAGCCTCAGGGAGATGACCCCAGAGCTGTCTCTTGAATGATAAGCAAGAAACATTAGAATAGTGGAGACTTTCCAGACAAACTAAGTGAGGTCCCACGGAGGGCAGGAAATGACTACAGTACAAGGCATTGAGTAGAACATAGCAAAATATCAGACTGGAATGGAGTTGGGAACTTGTGCTAAGTGGTTGTGCGTATTCCATGTTCAAGAGCTGGGACACAGTCTAATAGAACATGGGGGCCCCTGAAGTACAAGTATTTGTAGTTTTGAAAACTTACTGTAATGGCTCCATTACAGACTCCAGTGCCTCTTGATTAAGATGTGTACAAATTTCTTACACAGACAGAATCTTTTACCTCACTTCTCTATTTTTAACCATTTTCTTAAAACATACATAAATATACTTTGATAAGTTAGATACTTGGTATGCAGTCAAGGTAAATATACAAGTGTGGTTTTGGTGGACTCAGTAGTTCTTTCTAGAACATGACCTCTACCGTCAGACATAATTCTCGTGATTTCAGTGTCAGCTGCTTTTAGAGCCTGTTCCTCTTCTGTTGAGTTGTGAGGGCTAGAGAAGGTGATGGTCGGGTTTGGTTCAGGGCGGGTGCTTGTCAGTGCTTATTTCATTATCCCCCACACCTTAATTTAAAAGGATGTGTCTTACTTAACACTAAATATTTACCAGTGCTGGGTCAGTAGTCTCTTTTTTTGAGTTTCATCACCTTCCTCTTACTTGATTCACCTCTGCGAGGACAGTATAAAACAATAGGAACAACAGTGCACTCTGGTTTTCTCAGATGGGTGGGAAAGCGCCAGCCTCAGCGAGGAGGAGGGGAGTGACAGCGAGTGGGTAGACGTGCACCACTCTTCTGACGAAGAACAGCAAGAAATCGTAAGTTCTAAACTTTCCTCTTTGACGTACTTCATTCTGATGTTTATTAAGACTTCATTTGTACTGAGCCTTTTTGAGGTACTCAGCTCTCCCCTGAACTAATAACCAATGGACGCCTCTGTGCTGTGCTTTCAAGTCTAAGAAGCTGAACAGCATGCCCATGGAGGAGCGGAAAGCCAAAGCCGCAGTCATCAGCACCAGCCGAGTCTTGACTCAGGAAGACTTTCAGAAAATCCGCCTGGCCCAAATGAGGAAAGAACTGGATGCTGCCCCTGGGAAAGCCCAGAAAAGGAAATATGTTGAAATCGACAGTGACGAGGAGCGCAGGTGAACATCCTTCCGCTCGTGCGGCAGTGAAAATACTAGGGAAAGGAACTCCACCCGGTCTCACGTTGTATTTTTCCCTTCATCCAGGGGTGAGTTATTGTCTCTTCGGGACATCGAGCGCCTTCATAAGAAGCCAAAGTCTGACAAGGAAACAAGACTAGCAACTGCAATGGTAAATGAGGCTTACTTGGTCCCTGGTTCTTTTAAACAGAAAGCAAGTAAAAATGAAATAAGAACTAGAACTTGTGTTACCACAGTATAACAGTGGTTTTGGGGTGTTTTTTTTTTTTTTTGCTTTGTTTTTGTTTTGTTTTTAGTATTTTAAGGAAAGTTAAAATCAATATTATACATAGATAGGAAATGCTCAGATCAGCTTCTAAAGTCAGAGAGCAATGCAACATCCATTTGAATAACATATCTCAAAACTACTAGAAGAGCAGGGGGATGTGTATGATCATTAATGAAAAGCCAGAGACAGTGAAGTCTGCCTCCAGGAAGTGGAGGCTCTTTGTGCCTTCGCCCTGCTGCCTTTCAGCTTCGTTTTCTGTCTTACAAATGGCCCTACTTCTCCTGCTGCATTCTATTAATAGTGAAACCTGTTTGGATAACTCTAAAAAAATGTTCTTTCTCCTCCACACCTTTGCATATATTATGCCTACTTTCTGAAATGCCATATTTTCTTCTTCCTTTAACCCACTGTGAATGTCATCATTCTGGGAGAAAAAAAAAAAAAAAAAAGCTTATGCGTGGACCCCTTGCTTAGTTCTCTGACTTTACCAGACTAAACTGCAGTCCTTTTCTTCTGTGAGTTCCCTCTGCTGCATTGACAAGTCACCAAGGCCATCTCTCCTGGAGACTGACTTGCGGGGAGCAAGGGCCATCCATCCGCCTTGTGTCTTTTCAGCCCGGTGGCGCTTATGGCACACAGGAAGCATGTGTGTTGCCTAGATAACTACTGAACGTGTTATGTAAGATGGAATTTCATCTTTTTGTGCTGATAGGCTGGAAAGACAGACCGAAAAGAATTTGTGAGGAAGAAAACCAAAATGAATCCATTTTCCAGTTCCACAAATAAAGAGAAGAAAAAACAGAAAAATTTTATGATGATGAGATACAGCCACAACATCCGGTCAAAAAATAAACGTTCCTTCCGAGAAAAGCAGGTGAGTTCAACTTGAGCTTGTTGACAGAATAGTATTGTCATTCTTAGCTTTTGTTATATGTGAGGGGAATTGCACCTTCTAAACACTTTGTATTATGTGTATTTTAGGATTAATAGGGAATGTTACTGGAGAGCATGGAGAGGTAGAAAGCAGTCAGGGTGTATAAATCCTATGTCAGATTTGGCTGAGTCTCAGCTCAATCCTTATTCTCCTCTATAAAGGAGTGGAAGGTCTTGAAGGCCATTACTGTGCTGACACTGCGTCTGTAAAATAGTGTCGAGATGAGCTGAATAAGCACCAGTCACATGGTAAATTCTCAGTCTCAGGGAAGTGGATCAAACAGCACTTCTGTTGTTGACATGAACCTTCCTTTATGTGCAATCTGGCGGAGTCTGTGTGTTTAGGCATTGCGGTTTCATTTTATCCACTTTTGAACTTTGCTGCTACACCTTTACTTCTGTAATTCATTATAGTAAAACAAAATGTATATTTTTATATCATCTTCTACTGGGAGTATACTAGAATGCATCTAGATGCTTTTGGAGAATCTCTAGGAGATCAGGTCAGGGATGAAGTCCCACCTTGGAACCAATGTTCCTGAATGCTACCCAGGTATGAGCCTCCTAGGCCTAAATGCTCCACAGCGGTGTTCCCTCTGTTTGGTAGTCTAGTCAGTGTTAACTGGAGTAGGGTACCATTTAGAACAACCTGTTTATCTTCTCTGTCTAGTTCTAAACTGCTTCCAGCATTATATAGAGAAGAAAAGGGACAGTATTTTGAACATTGAGTTGAAAAGATACCATTGGAAGTATTAAGTTCTCTGAATTTCTGCCAATTTAAATTCATAGCTCATTTGATTAAATCTATTTAGTTGATCCTTCACCAGTCATAAGATTTTAGATTTGAGGAATTGGAATCACCCAGTGAGGTTTGTGGCCTTGCTGCGTTGTAGCTAAGGTTGTTCCTCCACTCCCTGCGTCCTCTTTTTTAGCATGCCTTTTTTGGGCATGGTAGAGAAGACTTGCTTTTTGAAGTAAACCTTTTGAATCATAAAACATTGTTCTCAACATTAAAGCATTTTTAATTTACGAGTAAATTAAGTGTTCATGGGGCTCAAAAATGCTTTTGCCTTGCTCTCCAATTTTCTTGCCATTTGGAACCTGAAGTCAATCAGAATTTCTATGTATATTCCTAGCCCTATATTTTCTTCAAGTTCTCTTGTTTATAAAACTTGATACTAGGATATTTATTTGGCATGATTTACTGACTTACTGATTCCCTTTTGGTACACATTTATATAATCAAGTTAGTATAGTGGGGTACCGAAGGGTTCTGCTGTTTAGATATTTCCTTCTTATCTTCCAGCTGGCACTACGAGACGCACTTTTGAAAAAGAGAAAAAGAATGAAGTAACTTCTAAGCAAATTTACCATTCCAAGGAGAATGCTAACTTTGAGTGATTACTCTGAAAGTTAGTAAATCAACAATTTTTGTTTACATGAAGTCCAGAAGCACTGTATTATGAAAACCACAGTGGACTTGACAGCATTTTGGTGTTTTTATTTTGGAGATGTGTAATGGTTGAATTATTTGAAATGTAAAATGTAGAAGTGTTGTAAAATCACTTTCACTTTGCATGCAAAAGACGTTACTGAGTGCCTACCCATTTCACTAAAGATGCAAAAATGAATGGACCATACCCTTCACTGAAGGCATTCACAGGCTTTTGGGGGCAGAAGGAACAGATGTGAATATGTGTATTTATAGTGCAGTGTACATAGTTCTGTAATAGAGCTAGGGCTGTATGTCTGTGGGGCTATGGAGACCTACAGACTCACTCTGCAGGGTATAGGAGTTACATATTCTCCTAAAACAAACAGGACGATGTTACAAGAGTAAGAGGTTCTTACTTGTAAATAGGCTTACCTGCTGAAAACAGGTCCCTGCTGTACAGGTTTTGGGTGGACAGTTTAGCTCTTAATCTATCCAAAAGATTTAAACATTATTTTGAATGCCGGGTATAGGTTTTTAAGTTAAGACCTCGCTTTTGAAACTGCCTTAAGTATAGACAGTAATTTTGAAGTGTCCTTGGTTCGTCACTTGTTTACCTATTTTTTCATAGAGGAAAAGAAAACAGCAGCTTTCCTTCACCTTGTAATGTTTTTAACCCACTGTTTGCCTTGTCTCAGTAAAAGACTTCTGATGTCAAAGTAGGTACTTTTGTATATGCTGAGTTGGTCTTTCCCAGGGCACAGTTGGTTTCAGGGGATACAAGAGCCATCGTCAGTCTCTATGAAGAAGTGGTTACATTTGGAAATAGTTTGATTCTTTTTGCTTGATGTCTTACATAATATTGTGAAATGAGAAAATTGCTCTGTTACTTCAACTAGGGTAAAAGGCAATTTTCTGCCCATTCAGAATTACAAAGCAGCTCCTAAAGCCACTTACTGTCCTCTTTCTGTGATCTCCTATTTACTGTCTGAATTCAACGTTAGTTTTATTTTAATGAGACTTTGTGACTTTCCTCAAAGCACTCTAGGTTGCTGGGGATTCATTGTGAAGGCCTTGAGATTTAACAATTATATTATACTGCGCTGATGAGAAGAAGCTGTCAGGAGCAGCCCAGGCAATGTCAATGCTTCTCAGGAAGAATCTGATACAAATAGCATGTTTCAGACCTGGAACTCCTCTTTTTGCGTTTTTGATCTGGTTGTCTCCTCATGTGTCTAGATCCAGAGAGCTGTAAATTCAGCTTGAAATGGCAAAGCAGTTGGGGTTGAGGGACTTGTATGAATTGTGATGCTGCCGGAAGTTTCATCCTTCCCCTAGACTCCTGTTTCACTTAGCTGCCAAGAGTTCATTCTGTGTTCTGACTTCTGTTTCTCTACCGTGGTGTAGCTTCCTCTTAATTTGGGTTTATATGCAAGATAGAAAGTTACCTACCTTAAAAATGTAGTCTTAACTCATTTCTTTAAACGCATAGAATCATTCTGGTTCCTTTATTATTTTGTAAGTCTTCTCTTGAGAATAGTTCCTGCTAACTATAAATTTGAAGATCCAATGCTCACAAGTTGGATGCTACCAGTAGAGGCAGAGTGACTTTTCACAGTGACTTTTATCCTAAAAAAGTCACCACGTCCCAAACTTGAGATTTTCAGTTTCAGATTTTTGTTAAAACTGAAAACTGACCCATTTCAAGAATGAGCTCACATTGACCCATTTCAAGAATGAGCTCAGATTGTCCCAAGCTCAAAATATACACAAAGTGATGCCTACATTTAGAAAACTGATACATAATGCATGTGATCTTGGCAAGTTCCACTAGAAAATAAGCTGCACAAAGAAGAGCCTGTTCTCTGCTGTATCCCCAGAGCCGTTCAGGGCTTAGCCGTAGGTGCTCAGCAGATACTTGAATACATGATTTCATTGTCAAGTCAGTGTCTATAAATAGAACGCCTACCTCATGGATTGTTTTCAAATTCTTACCTATAAGCACTTAGCACGGTATTGACAAGTAAATATTCAGAAGTTTCTCATCAAAGATCAGGTTTCTTTTTTTTTGCTTAATTTACTTGAAGTGGAACTAGAGTTACAGTTATTAGAAATATTTGTATTACACTGCATCCATTTAGAAGTGAGCTAGTTTGAAATATGAATGTACATTGAAATCTAATGTAAATGCAGTATATACTGAATGCTTACTGTGCGCAAATCACTCCACAAGGTGCTGTGTGGATTGCAAACACGATGTTCATGTGGTGGAAAGTTTCAAGCCACCTAAGGAAACAGACTTACAAAGTGCTGTAGTGCAAGACTTCTTACAGAACTACAAAAAGCCATGGCTTAGGCCTGGGAAGGGACAGTTCAGCCTCAGTAGGGTGCAATAGCTGTTTGCAACAAACTGGTGCTTCTGATCAGGAAATATTCTTGATTTTGTAAAAGAAAAGGTTGTGGCTTACAAGTATACATAATTTTTTAAAAGATTGCTTATTATAAATTTTGGTTTTATTCATACTCTTACAACTCTGGACATTTATAATCTATATAGTATTACATGGTAACTCCGTACTAACCAGAATCTTTAATCAGTTGCAATAGTCAGTTCTTCAAACTGTTTTCAGTAACTATGGTTTTGTTTTTTTAATGAGATAAAATTGGTTTACAACAGTGTATATGATTCAGAGGTATAGGATCACACTTCAGCCATGTGTTACCACACCATACCCACTACCACTGTCCATGGGCCCCTCCCTCTTTACACTGCTCTCCCCGCTGGTGATCTGCTTCTGTAGTTAGATTTTTTTTTTTTAAGATTTTTATTTACTTATGCATAAAAGAACTGGCGTATAGGCCAGAGGTGCAGGGGCAGTGAGAGGGGATTCACCAGAGACAGAGTGGGGAGCAGAACAGGCAGATGGATGAAGTAAAATGCTGAGGGGAGCAGCAGGCAAGACAGGAGAGTCAGCTGTGCCATGTGGGTCACTTCCCTGGCCGGGAATTGAACTAGCGTTGAAGTGGCTGCAGATAGCCAAGCAATGCTGTGCCTTAACTGGTTGCACCACCAAGGAGGGAGGGCCCCATATAGTCAGATTTCTAAGGTTTGATAAACACCTTTTCAGGTGTTTTATCAAATGATAACAGTTCTACCAAGTGACACACTTTGTATAAAGGCAACTAAAAATTGTTGCTTATGTACTTCAGAATATATTTTGTGAGGTATTAAAAAGACTTGAAACAAATAATAAGGCAAGGCTTTGTCTCTTACAAGGAAACAGCCCTTGGGAGGAATTTAACCTTTCCTACTTCAGAGTACTTGACCTGCATTTGTTTTAAAATGTAAGCAAGAATGGAGTATAGCAAATTCTGTACTATTCTTAGTGTATATATTTGCATAGAGCACTTGTGGTCTTTTTTTCTGCACATTCTTTCATTATTTTGTCAATCTGATCTCAGTGAAATGGTTAAATTGATTTACCCACTTGATGAAATATTAAGGTAGCCATTAAAATATAGTAGGAAATATAAGTGGAAAGATCAAAATTCCAAAGTATTATTTCGCTCTAATAAGAAAATGGAAAATAATAAAAGCTCAAGAGGAAATAGCTCAAAAATTAAACAGGTTTTTCTTTAGTGTTGGGATCATACATGATGTTTTATTTCAACTTTACTTTCTGAATCTTTTATAGTGTACATGTTTTTACTTCTGTCATTGTATAAGAAAAAAAATAACTGAAGCCAGGGGAATAAATTACCTTAAGACTTACTCTTGTGAACTTTCTTTAAAATCAGAAGGGGAATGGCCCAGAGTCTCAGTTCCTCTAGTTCCTCTAATTCCCTAGAATTCTTCAGTATTTCTTAGAACATGACAACCGACTCCCATGAGCAATGCAAGAGAAGTTACAAGGAGGACGTCACCCTGTACTTTGGCCTGCTTTTGGAAATCAGACACTGATTTCATTCACTAGAAGCAAGCCGGCAGTAGAGGAATTAACCTCCAGTTTTGGAAGGGGGGGGTATGGGAGGGATAGGTTTGAAAACCACCACACTGCCTTCAGATTGAACAAAATGAGATGCCAGCTGTAAAGAATGAATACTGTGTTCCTGAGACGTTTCCTTGCATGGTCCTCTGAGTTGCTTTTTAAATTTTAGGTTCTGATCCAACGATAATAACAGCACTTCTGAAATCTGCACAACAGAAATAGCAGGAAAAAGAGGGCTGATAATTTTGTAATTTATTTATTTTGCAATTAAAAAGTTCTTATGAGATAAAAATCAAGCATTTCATTAATTTAGGATAAAATAAATACCCTGGAATCTGTTATTCTGGTGATTGTGACTATCCCATTAAGTATCTTTACAGTAGTTACCTACAAGCTTGAGGGAATCTTTTGTAACCTTTTCTTGGTAGGAATTCCAGTTTTTCCAAGTTCTTCCCTCTCCTTCAGGTATTCCACTTGCATTCCTCATGAAAAGCTGAGCATTTCAGGCTGCTAGATAGCTCTCTAATGCCAAATTTTTCTTTCCAGCATTTTAAGCCATAAGTATCCCAGTGTCCTGGCAACATTAGGTAAAATCTTGAACTTGTTCAAAACATGTCTTGCAAAACTTTTTCTTCATTTTAGGGGTCAAAATATCTTTTGACATGCTGATACGCCACAGGATTATGGCATATCTGTTTGGGCCAAGTTTCATAATTCAAATCTTTAGATCTTTGTTTCGAATGTCCTGTAACACGCACAGCCTTTGACAATTAGAATAGATTAGTATATAAAGTTATGTTACACTAAACTATAAATAACATTTTTATCTGGATTTATTTATCTGATACATCATATCATTTGTTTTAAAATCCATTTGCTTTCAGTTTATTTCTCTTTAATTTATTCAACAATTATACTTTTTGGTCATTGGAAATTTGTTAGTCACTTTTTTTAAAGCTTTACTTATGCATACAGAACTGGAGTACAGGCTAGAAGTGCAAGGACAGTGAGAGGATTCACTATAGGCAGAACGAGGAGCAGAACAGGCAGATTGACAAAGTATAGTGCTGAGGGGAGCAGCGGGCTGGTCAGGAAAGGTCTGCCGAGCCAAGTGGGTCACCTCCGAGGTAGGGATCCAGCGAGCGCGCTGAAGCAGCTGAGGCCAGCTTTGCAGTGTTGCACCACCAGGGAGGGCCCTATTAGTCACTTTTCTAGACACCTTAGATACTTCAGAGAATAAAACTGAAAAATTCACATTTCAGTAGAGTAAGACAATAAATGGTAAATATCAAAAAGATAAACTTTGAAATGCAGAACTACCATGGAAATAGACATTCTTGTACACATATTTCTACATCTTTGGTCTGTAGCTTCTTAAGGAAGTTCTATGAAGAGGGGACTCTTGAGGGCAACGTTATGGTGAACTTGGGAGGCTATGGAAAGGAATGACCAGTCATGGCTTCTTTAGACATACATCACATTTCTCTTGTGTGCATTCCCTCATGAGCCTGAAGTTTCTGTGACTGAAGGTCTTTACGCGTGGACTCTACATGAAAGGCTTCTCTGGCATGAATCTTTCCACACAGCTGTGGGTTGCTGCCTGGAATAAGCTTTTGTGACACTTTGCACAGATAAAGGGCCTCTCATTACTGTCTCCACTGAAGGCTTTATCTGAGAGCAGTACCTGAAGCTTTTGATATGCTTCTCACATTGTATGGCCTGGAGGCCCTCTGGAATATTTCTTGATTTCTCCTACATAAGCATTTCCCTCAATGCCTAGTGGGTAGGAACAGAACAGGTGACCTGGTCTGACCTGGATTGAACCTCTGATCCCTCCTCCATAAGGAGATAAGGGAGTCCTTCCAAAGACCTTTCCCCCTCCTTCCTCCCACCCCACGTCCCTCTGGGCCTGAAGGTTACCAGAGCTTCCCTATTGGAGGGGAAGCTTAAGGCATAGGAGAGTTTTCTCCTAGGGGAGTAAAAAAGATATTCCATAGCTTTGTCTAGTAATACTGTCATTTATATGACAAGTTGTCAAAGAAAAAAAATGCTGTCATTTTCTTTATCTTCTTATCCTGTTTCCAGGAAATTATCTTGAGGCATCAAGGACGGTGTCCCATATTCTCCCCCATTAACACTTTGTTAGATAAACAATGAGAGAAAAGAGCTTCCTATGTGGCACATGTACACAGCTATAGACAAACTCTTGCCATTTGCATCAACATGGATGGAACCAGGGATGTGCTGAGCAGCATGTCAGAAAGACAAACAGCAGCTAATTTCACTCATATGTGACATATGAGTGAAGCAATAGATCAAAAACAGTGGAAGGAGGGAAATGCACTGGACTATGGTGATGGCACACGGGTGATTTGGTGATAGGAAGCCCATGGGGATTGCAACTGAGATGAAAAAAATGCACAAAATGATGTAAAAAGCAAACAAAGCAATAGAACAGAGAAAACAAAACCTTGGGATTTGACTGCTAAACTGAGATTACTGAAGTGGGGAGGGGTCTCTGGGGTCTATGGTGGAAGATATGGTTGCTTTGGTGGTGGGTGTGGTATGTTGCAACCTCTGGCTTCTTCCCAATGTTACATACATTGAAGAAGTGTCAGTCTATATCCCTAATTATACAGTGTTGTAAAATACTGTATAAACTTAAAAAAAAATTTTTTTAATAGGAAAAAGGCCTTCCTGTCCTTGTAATGTGGCTATGTTTGAGGTTGAACTTAAAACTGCGTAATTTGGGGCTGAAGTCTTGGCTGCTGTGTGGCTAAATTTCTGCAGAGTTCTTATATCTTTTAAAATTTTTACCATTTTAGCATCAGTCTCAAAGTGATTGGAAGTATTTTTTTTTATGTTGACCCCCAAAAACCTCCTTGAACTCAGCTAATCTGTTTGCTCCCATGGTGACTCTCAGTGGCTTTTAGCCCTAACCCCTAACTGCTGTTACTCACACTTTGCTAATAAGCAGACTTACTTGATTTTATGAAATGAACCAATGTGTCAACTGAGGCTTGAAACTTTAGCATAGTGACTCCAAGACCAGTAAAGATGGGAAAAATCAGGAGTAATGATGATAATTCTATTTGTATTCTATTTGATGAGAGGACCAAAACTTACAATTAAATTTCAGGTTTCCTCTAAATATTTATTATATTTATCACCCACAATGATCCTGCCAACTATTAAGAACTGCCCAGCTTTGCTGCCTCAGGTGATTGTCCTAAGAAGAGTTTTCAGTCTCAGACAGTGAGTAGGCAAAGAGGAGGTGAGATTAATGATTAAGGTAAGTGCTTCTGAAGGTGGAGTTTGGGTTCTGGTGGCCCCCTTGGAGGCAAATGAGGAGGATCCCCAGCGGGGTACCTAGGTCAGTCACCTAACTTCTCCCAAAGGCACATTTCTCATTGGAAAAGAGGACTGGATTAACAGAACCCATCTTTTGGATTGTTTTGATCATTAAATGAAATAGTGAGCAAAAAATACTTGGCACAGAAATGTTAGTTAACTTTTTAAAATATATATTTATTTATGCATACAGAACTGGGGTACAATCAGAGGTGCAGGGGCTGTGAGAGGATTCACCAGAGACAGAGTGGGGAGCCGAACAGGCAGATCAACGAAGGGGATCCCACTGATGGGGAGCAGCGGGCGGGTCAGTAGAGGTTTGAAGCGCCACGGGATCGAACTCTTGCTGAAGTGGCTTTTGCATCTTAATGCTGTGCTTTAACCCGCTGCGCCACGAGGGAGGGCCCAGCGTTAGCTAACTTTTTCCGCTTTCTTTTTTTTTTAAACTGGAAAAGAGGTGTGAGCTTTGAAAAGAAAAAGCTCTCTTGCCCATCATAAAAACCAGCTAAAACTTTGAAGCGTGCAAATATGAGTTAAACAGGCGGTAGAGAGGCACAGATCCCTTCCTACCATAGTAGAACTGTCCTGTCACTCCTTGCTACTAAAGGTCATTTCCTTAACCCCCTGCAGACCGCAGTGCACGTCGTCGCAGGCCCGCGCGGCTGGGACCGGGTGGGAAGTGCGGGGAGAAGCCAGGGGCCGGCAGTCTTTCAAGCCCTGGCAGGGTTGACAGGCTGGCGGGACTCGGGGCTCCGGCGCGGGACGGGGGTGACCAAGGGACTCGCGGGCCAGGACAAATGCGAGCTCCACCTCCCGCGCTCGCGGCCACGCCCCGGCTCCTCCTCCTCCTCCTCCGGCTCTTCCCGGGGTGCGGGCCTCGGATCCTAATTGTGGCCTCGGGAGCGGAAGCCATGAGACCTGCTGGCCCGCGGGCGCCCCAGGCGCTGGCGCTACTGCTGCTGCTGGCCGGCGCGGGGCTGTCTGCGGCCGCCGAGCCCCCAGCCCCGCCGCTCTTCAACTTGAGCTTGGACGTGGCCCCGAACCTGCGCTGGCTGCCGGTGCTGCGGCACTACGACCGGGACTTCTTGCGCGCCGCGATGAGGAGTATCATCGGGTGAGCGCTAACCCCCGGGTGCGGGACAGGATCTGCAGAGACACGAGCCGCTGGGCCCGAGGCCCGGAAAGCCGAGCCGCTCGCTGCCCTGCGCGCTGCAAAATGAGATTCTACCCCTTCCCACCATTTGCGGCTGCCTTGCCCTCTTGCCCCCTCCCCCGACCCCTCCCTCCCACTTCTGGTCCGTGGAGGGGCTGCCTGGGACCCAAACTGGTATTTGTTGACTGCTGTTCTGCAGCTTCGAGGTTGAGGATGATCTGACGCGGTTGGTTTGGCTTTCGAGTGGGTGTCACCCCTGGCACGCCCGTCCTGGTGCCATTCCGGGTAGGGTGACACTCGGGGTGTTACCCGCGCTGCCCAGGTATCTCGTAGGGGACGCAGCTCACTTGCAACTCCTTGCAAGATTCGCAGGCGTCCAAGTGCGCCTCTCTGGGGACCACCATTTCTCCCTGTGCCCTCGGGTTTCCTTTCCTCCTCCTGGACATTGCAGATTGGGTGGGCTGTCAGTGACCGTGGGGAGGCACCAAGCCTGCGCTCTCGGCTAAAAGTCCTATGTGCCACTCCCCAGACACACCCTAGCACCAGTCGGACCTCTAAACCGGGCACGACTTTATGACTTTGTCGTTTCTAGGGATAAGGTCCCCAAGTGGGTCCACAAGGTGATCCGAAAGACAGAGGGGGAGCTGGAACACTTCCTGCCGCAGCCCTTCTTCGGAGAGATCCAGGGTATGAGCGACTTCCTGAACTTCAGCCTGACCGACTGCCTCCTGGTGAACCTGGCCTACGAGTCCACCGCGTGAGTGCCCGCCCGCACCGTCCACAGGGGCCTCGCCAGGGAATCCTGCCACTTCTGAGTGGGAGGAGACATCTTATCCGTGTGATAAAACAGGGTGGTGACTGGGCGGCCCTGAAACCTCCAGCATAGGTTCCTCTTTGCTTCTTGGTAAATCTGAGCAGCTGATGATGGGCTTAGAGAGGGAAACCATTTCTGACCCAACTCTGTTCTCAATCTGAACCCCGCCCCCCAACCTTTCTCCCTCTACCCATTCAGATACCCCCTTTCCAACCTCTGCTCATTATGTTCTTTTCCAGGAAGCTTTGAAAACAAACCCCATTCTCAGCATTGACCCTCCAGCCTTAGAGTGCATGGACTGATCTCTGCCCTCATCGACAGCCCCCACCCCCACCCTGTACATTTTTTTTTCCCCTGAACAAAACTGGGAGCATTTAATCCTTAAATTTTTAAACTTTAACATGTTACCATGTTTCCACATCCACTGGTACAATTTATATCATTTCATACTCCCTTTTGCAAAGACAATATGCATATTTAATCATAAAAATGATCCACACTGTCAGGTTTGTTTGATAGTGACACTTCTGATAGGGATCATCCACATAGGCATTTGCCTTTCCAGAAAGATGTCATTATATCTAAGATTCTGTGTTTTAACCTGTTGCGCCACCAGGGAGGGCCTTTACTTGGAGTTTTATAGTAGGACACAAATTCTCTCAAGCACCTTTTACTTGCGCCTGTCTTTTTCCATAGTTTCTCCTTATCACCAGCCATCCTCTTTAGACAGGGCCAGAAAGGAATAGAAGAAACCTGAAGTGACAGTTTTCACAGTTTTTCTCTTGCCTTGTCATGAACTGCAGTATGTCACAGTTTAGACCGGTTGCTTAGGACATTTGGGAGGAAGGGCACCCCTCTGTTGGGGATTGTTGCTGTGTGCCCACATGTCAGGTCTCTGATTGATAAGTCTAGGAGCAGAGGAAACAACTGGTATCTGAGTATGACTTAAATGCTGAGTGAGCAGGGCGGAACTAAGATGGTTGTTATTGGCACAGTTTCTATAAGTTGAAGAAGCCAAGTTATTCATGGGCCGTGAGATTCCTAATGCTGCTTTCACAGCACTGCCAAAGACAGGAAATGCCATCTTGCACTCCTGACTCCTACTCTTATCCTTCCATGTTTGTCCTGACTGGTGATTCTGACTCCTCTCAAGAGTCTGTTCTCTCCCAGAGCTGGGATCATGGGCCCATTATCCTGGTAAACAGAGCCAGTCAGTATTTGGTAGGCAGGGGCATCAAATGTGGGCACAGAAGAGAAAGCACTAGTGAGTGGTTGATCCCAGGCCAAGTGCTAGAGGATCCTTAAGTCGTTATGTCCTCCTGAGAGGATCTGGAATGTAGAGAGGTGTGGTTTGATTCCTGCCATCCGGACATACTGTTTTGCCACAACAGCAGCCTTCCTAGTAACCGTGTAGATACTTAGAGCTTCTGGCTTCCAAGCTATGATGAAAGAATGAACTTTACACTCCCTTGGCATCTTTCTGAGAACCCCTGGGCAAAAAAGTGTAAGGAGCACTGTGTATGCCTGCCTCTTTAGAGAATTGTGTTAAGACACAACCTTATTACAATAAAGTGCTTTTCGGGTAAACCAAGTTCACTTTGCTATTCCCCATCAAATGCCCCCATATTTTTCCTGTTCGGACACGTGACTTTCTCAGTGAAAAGCTCAATTCTTATTTTCACTTCAACCTCTTGTTTGAGACACTTGTATTCAAGTAGATAAAAGCAAGCATTCTAGTAAGAACATTCTAATGCTTGGATTTGATATAAAGGTGTATATTAAATCATTTGACAACACGAATCATCAACTGAGGGCATTCACATTAGCAAAGGAAATGTTTTGCTCTCACTTTTTAATTATTTAGCTAGCTCTCATTTTTGAGATCAGAGTAAAATTAGCTACTCTCTGTGGAACCTTCTGGGCATGAGGCTCCGGGATGGTGTTAACTCAGAGGCCACAACTTGCCGAAAGCTAGAGAGATGGTGAGTGGTCGGAGTTGTCCCCTCCGCAGTTCTTCTCCCAGAGCCAAGTTGTGCCTCACACTGTGGGTTAGCTCGAGCTAAAACATTTAGGCTTGACACAGAAGATTGTTGTTTTGTCCAATTGAAAATCCCACGGTTGAGAGAGAGTCTGAAGACTGTGCTTAGTAATTCCTAATGCTTTATAAGTCCCTTCCTTTTCATAAACTTTTGGAAGTTAAGATCAGAAACCTGGCCAAGCTTCCCTTTTTAAGCCAACAAAAAATTAAGTTACATGTGCTTTCTCCTAGTTACACAAGATGTAATCATTACAGAAAATTAACAAATACAAAAAGTACAAAGAAAGAAAGTCAACCACAGTCTTGTTATACAGAAATGACCCTTCATCCTTGAGGGAATTTTCTCTTAATTTTGCTTGTGTAGACAACCAGATTTTCTCTGCCCCCAAAAGATGTTTCTTCTCATAGTATTACATATTTTTCAGAGAATACTGGCATTCAGAAGTCTTTATTAAGCCTCTTCTCTTATTTTCCTCAAACTACTTTTCTCTGGGAGCTCTGAAAAAATTCCTTTCTCTTATTCTCTGCAGGGAGCTTTAAGGAGGATGGAAAAAAATGCCCAAAAGACCCTAAAAGGTTGACCATTTTCCCAAGGAGAGAAAATGAAATATTTGTGAAACAGAATGGTTTAGTACCAATGTCCTTGCTCTGAGAAGTTTGTAGAAGAGAGCAGTGAGCTTGAGCTAGCTTTGAATAATGTATGAAAGAGACTTCATACTACCATGCTGAGGAATAAGTGAAGTTTATTGGCATGGCCAAACCCCAAATGGTCAGTTGCAGATTTGGATTTAGGATAAAATCTTCATTTAGTGTTCATTTATGTTGTCATATGTGCTGAGGACAAAGACCTAAGAACACCGGACAGACACCAAAGACTCGTGTCCAGTTGTACTTTACACATTGAGTTATGAATCGATAATTCCTGTACAGGATTAGAAAACAGGCATTCATTATAAGGCATTCAATATAAGGAAGAGTAGCTTTTACTTCATGTTAAAACTAATGCTTTCATTTTCTTCTTTTCTGTTGTTTCTTTCATTCACATTTGGCTTTTCCTTTTCTTAGATTCTGCACCAGTATTGTGGCTCAGGATTCCAGTGGCCACATTTACCATGGCCGAAATCTAGACTATCCCTTCGGGAACCTCCTACGCAAGATGACTATGGATGTGCAGTTTCTAAAGAATGGGCAGGTATTACAGTCCATATGGTAAAGCAATAGAAATGAGGGAGATGTGCTAACCCAAGTGGTCATCCTTTGGATGTCCTGCTACTTAAGTATGTTCTCAGTTTAAGATACCCTCCCCCCTAAAATTAGATTAAATTAGATTCCTTGAAAAATAAAACCAGGAGACAGGTTTGCATAAACTATACTTACAGAAAGAAGCATCATTTATTATTTTTATTGAGTATCTACTTACAGAGGTCAATACATATTCCCTAGGAGAACCTCTAGGAGAGAGGGTGTGATCAGTTGTCCACTTATGGTGCTAAGTCACTCTGTCTTCTCTTTCCCCTGTTCTGGAATAGGGTGTGCTGCCAAATGGCTAGTAACAGTCAACGATGGGTCTGTCAGTCTTGGGTTGAATCCTACCCCTATTTTTTTTTTTAAGATTTATTTACTTATACATACAAAATTTGGGTACAGGCCAGAGGTGTAGGGGGTGAGAGGATTCACCAGAGACAGAGGGGATCAGAACAGGCAGATGTACTGAAATACACTGCTGATGGGTCAGGAGAGGTCTGCCATGCCATATGGGTCACCTCCCTGGCTGGGGATCAAACTCTTGCTGCAGTAACTATGGACAGCTTCATAATGCGGTGCTTTAAACATTTGAACCCTACCCCATTATTTGCTTTGCTTTCTTTGTTGACCGGGAAATTACTTATACTCTTTTTGCAGACAACAGTTCAAGGAGGTTTATACTTTTTAAAATGGGGAAAGTTATAAAGCTTGAATGAAGTAATCTATGTCAAGCATGGGGTAGATAGTGGAGAAAGAGTGGTCAAATGATAAATGGTCTTGCAAGCTATGAGTATTATTGACCCACATTGTGCTCCTATGTCTGATCTTTTAAAAATTATACTTAGGGGTCTTCCCTTGTGGCCCCGGGGGTTAAAGTCTCAGCATAGTTGGCAGCCACCGCAGCATGAGTTTGATCCCCAGCCAGGGAGGTGACCCACATGGCATGGCAGACCTCTGCTGTCTCACCTGCTGCTCCCCTCAGCAATGCATTTCAGTCAGCCTGCCTGTTGTACTCCCCATTCTGTCTCTGGTGAATCCTCTAACACCCCCACACCTCTGGCCTATGCCCTAGTTCTTATATGCATAAATAAATAAATAAAAGAATCTTTTTAAAAGTTACACTTAGATCATTTTATTTTCATCATGGTATCTTTAAAAATAACCTAACATGTGTATTGTCATATGTTAGACAGTAAATGCTTAGAGACACAGTATCAATCATGTCCATTAAGTTTACAAAGGTGTTATTTCTGTGAAACAGAACAGAGCATGCAAAAGCCAGATTTTGACTGGGGAACAGTGTTTAAGGAGAAGGACTGTATCTTTTTTGTTCTTTGCATACAAATTGAGTTACAGGATCTAAAAGCTCACTAAATACTCATTGGTTCATTTGCTTTTACCACCAGAAGCTTTTTCTCATGAAAATTTAAACAATACAGAAATGTTTAAAGTGAAGCTTTCTCCTGTCACAGTTTCCTTCCTTATTCCTTCCTTACTTCAATTGTTTTCTCTAGAACTCACCGGAACAGTTGTTGCTACATTTGTTTCTGTTTCTTCTGGAACTCCCATGAAAAATAACTAATTGGTATGACTTTACTCTCAGTGCTCAGGTTATTTTGACCAGATTTCAGTTTGCACTTGGGTATTGTCATTCTGCTGAGGGCTCATGACCAATACATTGTTTTGGTAAACTAAGAACAGGTTAGCCACAAAACAACTACTGTCTTACTCTTTTCTCATGTTCATAAATGTAAAAAGTGTCTTCATTTGGGCCTCAAAGTAGCCTTATGAGGCAGGTACAAGGATTCTTTTCCAGATGGAGACTTCCAGAAACCGTTACCTTGCCCCAAATCACATAGGGAAAATATTACAGAGGTGAGAACAAATCTCGACTTTTAGCTCATAATAGTTTTCTTCCATAACACTTAACCTTACTATATATTAGAATCTCTTGCCACGGCTAAGGTTTGCCTGTATTGACTGTCTTGTGAAGGAGAAGCATTTAGAAATAGTTTTTCAGAGCTCCTAGATACAATATCTTACAAAGTATATCTTCCACTTATGCTTTATATCTTCGCAACTAAATTGAAATGATTTTGATAATTTCATATTTGAATTTGCTCAGTTTCCTGTTGGTGACATAACACTAGGGTCAGTGTGTCATTCCATTGAAGTGAACATATGATGCCTTTCCCCCCATATAATTATATATATTTTTAAAGACTGGTTCTTTTTTTTTTTTTTTAAGATTAATTTATTTATGCATGCAGAACTGGGGTACAGGGGTGGTGAGAGGACTCACGAGAGACAGGGAGCAGAGTAGGCAGGCTGATGAAGTACACTACTGAGGGGAGCAGCGGTTGGGTCAGGAGAGGTCTGCTGCTCCACGTGGGTCACCTCTGGGCCCTGGGATCAAAGTCACACTCAGGCAGCTGCGGCTAGCTTGCAGTGCTGTCACTTAGCCAGTTACACCACCAGGGAGGGCCTACTAATACATTTAATGAAGACCTTTTCAGTAAAATACACATATTTCCACTTTATTTCAGAAAATGAGAATGTAGTATTTGAGGGCCTCCCTAGTGGTACAAGGGGTTAAATCTCAGCACTGTGAATCCTTAACCACTGTACCACCAGCTCCATCCCCTGCCAGGGGGGTGATGCACATGGTGTAGCAGACCTCTCCTGTCTCACCCACTGCTCCCCTCAGCAGTGTATTTCATTAAATGCCTGTTCCGCTCCCCACTCTGTCTCTGGTGAGTCATCTCACCCCCTACACTTCTGACCAGCACCCAAGTTAATAAATCTTAAGAAGAAAAAAAAAAGCCCATTTGAGTCTAGGAGGAAAGACATTTATAATTAACTTATGAGGTATATGTAGACAGTGGATACTATTCAGCCTAAAAAAAGAAATCTTACCATTTTTGACAATATGGATGGATCTTGAGAAGATTATTCTGAGTGAAATAAGTCAAAAGAAAAAATACAAATACTGGGCTTTCCCTGATGACATAACAGGTTAAAGCATAGCAGTATGAAGCTAGCAGCAACCTCTTCAGCATAAGTTCGATCCCCATCCAGAGAGGTGACCCATGTGGGGCAGCAGGCCTCTCCTGTCCCGCCCACTGCTCCCCTCAGCAGTGCACTTTGCCGATCTGCCTGTTCTGCTCCCCACTCTGTCTCTGGTGAATCCTCTCACCATACCCCTACACCTCTGGCCTGTACCCCAGTTCTGTATGCATAAATAAATAAATCTTAAAAAAAAAATAAAAGAAATCATGTGCAAAACGGGTGCTTTCAATATGCATTTGGAATGGTAAAATGACATCTTTTCTGTTGATTTCAGGTTGCATTCACAGGAACCACTTTTATTGGCTATGTAGGATTATGGACTGGTCAGAGTCCGCACAAGTTTACAATTTCTGGCGATGAACGAGGTAATCAGAATGAACAAAGTATTTTTAGGTAGTTTATCACGTTTTATTCAAAAGGTTTCTTCACTCACCCAACAGAACATTACGAAGGAAACCTACTCTCTACATGGCAGGGACTTTCATTCCAGTGAGGGGAGATGCTGCTTGGATTAATTATTAATGCAATGATTTCCTTTAACATAATCATTAACATAATTAACTATTTCCAGGCACAGAAGATTCTGCTTTAAAAACCTGAGTGAAATCCTGCGTATTTTTGCTAGCTGGAAGATCATAGTTGCTTACTATATATATGTGTGTGTGTATGTATGCATTATATTTACAACGTTTTATTTTTGTATTTTGTAGTTTCTGTGAAATTAGAACTTAATCTTTGAAAACTTTTTTGTGTAGAAAACATATTTTTGTAGTTGCTGTGAAATTAGAACTTAATCTTTGAAAACTGTATCCTAGTAAAATCACTCTTCACCTACTAGCCTTTCTCCCTATCATCTTATACTATGGGTAAGACATAAAACTTGGGGAATTTTTTTTTTAATAATATAATAGTTTATTTTTACATCATTTTGTGCCTTTTTCCATCTCAGTTGTAATCGATTTGGGGAATTTTTTAAATGGCACCTGGGCACTATATACTCTTAATGTTCCTTCCTCATTTCTGCAGATAAAGGCTGGTGGTGGGAGAACATGATTGCTGCCCTTTTTCAGAAGCACTCACCAATCAGCTGGCTTGTCCGCACTGTGAGTATACTTACTATAGAGTTCAGCACATCCTAACTTCATCCTCCAAACTGTGTGTTCAGTTTGATGCTCTGTGTCACTTAACACTCTTATTTTTTAATGTTTGCAAGATGCCTATCAATCTTTGGAATAATAAGGATCAAACCTTTGCAAATGAGTGTCAAAGATAAAGCTGAAGACTAATACTGGTTTGAATCAGTAGCATGATGTTGCCATAGAGAAAAGTGTCCAGAGTGAACTGAACTCACATTTGTGGAGAGATTATTAGGGTTTTGAAGATGAGGGGACATACTCATTCAGATATACTTGAGTGGATCAGCTTGAGGAGGGAGCACATGTGGAAGCTGAAGGCTTGGAAAGTGATTTCCCTTAACTACCCATACCACAGACTTTTGGAACCCGAGGGTTCCTTAACTCTCTCTTCCAATGTAGCGTGCTCTTTATCCCAAGCCGTTGGCAGACTATTTCATCAAACTAGACCTTTCTTCTCATTCCCAGTCTGCAACCCCCACTCACCAGTATTTGACCTGAAAACATGTGACATCTCCCTGAGACACCGCCTCTGAATGAGGCTGTTTCCTGCTGACAGTCAGAGACTCTCCTTCGCCTGTGTGGACCCTCACTCCACTAGGACACAACTGAACTGACTTTCCTGTTATCCTTGGAAATTTGGAGAGAACAAGGCTGAGTTAGGCATATTCACTCATTACTCTGTACCCACAAGTGTGGTGCCTAATGGAAAACAGGTATTCAAGAAATGCCTGTTGAAAGAACAGATGAAAAGCCACCAGGTATCCTTTGTGAGGGTGACCTGTCGGGAAAGCTCACAACCCATGTTTAATGAGCCAGGCCTAGAACTTGTCAACAGTTCTTCCCTGTGGACCGTATGTCTGTCAAGGGGTATGGATAACCATTGATATCATTGCTGTGTCCCACAATGCTAATGCAGGTTTATCTTTCCCTTCAGACCCTGACTGAAGCAGAAAACTTTGAAGCAGCTGTCGACAAATTGGCCAAAACTCCCCTTATCGCTGATGTCTACTACATCGTTGGGGGTGTGTCCTCTAAGGAAGGAGTGGTCATCACTAGGAACAGGGGTGGCCCAGCAGACATTTGGCCCCTAGATCCTTTAAATGGAGCGTGAGTAGAATTAGAGATTCCAGTCATTTGCTTCAACAATCTTTTTCTTTTTTAATTTATGAAACTGGAGGTATTTTTTTTAAAGATTTATTTATGCATACAGAACTGGGGTACAGGCCAGAGGTGTGGGGGGGCGTGGGGGGAGGGTGTGTGTGTGAGAGGACTCACCAGAGTCAGAGCGGGGAGCAGAACAGGCAGATTTAGGAAGTTTACTGCTGAGGGAGCAGTGGGCAGGTCAGGAGAGGTCTGCTGCACCATGTGGGTCACCTCCCTGGCTGGGGATCAAACTCATACCAAAGCAACTACAACTAGCTTCATAGTGCTGTGCTTGAACCTGTTGTGCCACCAGGGAGGACCCCTGGAGGTATTATTTTATTTGTGTATATTTCTTCCTTAGCTCTGTCCCAAATGACCTTGGATAAGACAAGATGATGTGTTCTGTTGTAGGTGGTTCCGAGTTGAAACGAATTATGACCACTGGGAGCCACCACCTCGGGAAGATGACCGAAGGTAGGTCTCTGGATACACTATGACTTGCAGTATTTTCTTGTGGTCAGAGAATGTGGCAACTCCATTACTGTTACAGTAACTAGAGTTGACTATAGATGCTAGCTAGGCCCTCCTAGAAAATGTACCTTAGCTCCCTCCCTCGCCAATGCCTTGGCAAGGATGGGAGAACATTGTGTGTGGTGAAGAGCAGTAGGAAATCCTCTGGGTGGTTGTTTGAGTGTGGGAGGTTAAGCCTGGTTTGGATCTCAGGGTCAAAAGCCCTGGATCCTGCCACCAGCCTTGTTAAGGCTTTTTCAGAGGAGGCCTCTGTTTACCCATCTGTAGAAGAGAAGGTTAGAGCAAAATTCATGGCTTTCTATGCTAGACTTTTTGGGAAGGAAGACATTTCTCTTATGTAAATAAGTTAATAAACCATTGGTGGGATTTTCCTTACCATTAGTAATTCTGCAAATTTTCTAGTTGTAACTCATTGCGTCTCCAAACAGCAGGTAGTTCTCCATAGGAGTCCCCACTTGTCCATGGCTTCAGTTACTCATGATCAACCAAAGTTTAAAAATACCACTTCCAATAAAATAAGTTGAAGGAGAGACCACATATTTTATTACTGCTGTAGATTGCTGTGATTGTTCTAGATCATTGTTGCTAATCTTTCACTAGCCTAGTTTATAAATTAAACATCTCTCACACACACATATGTGAAAAAAAATACACACTTGCTCCTTGAACAAAGTGGATTTGAACTCTGTGAGTCCACTTCCATGGAGATATTTTTCTTTCTGCAGTTTGGCATTTACCAATCCAACCAAGCGCAGGTACAGACCTGCATGGGGTTATTGCCTCCTAACCCCAAATTTTTTGTGGACTGGCTGAATAGGGTTAAGTACTATCCACAATTTTAGGTGTCCATGGGGGGAGTCTTGAAATGTATCCCCCTGGGATTAGTGGGGAACTGTATATTTCCATGTGCCTTTACTTCCCTGATTATTCAAAACAGTGGCTTGGTTTTACTGTTAAATTAACTCCACCATGGTGACCTGGGATGGTAGAAAACTTGCTTGCGAGCCAGAATCTATTTTGAGGAATGAGAGAGCATAAAGTCAGGTTCTTAACTGTATGTGTCAAAATGAGAGCTGGGGGGCTTAGGGTTTCCTGATATTCTTGGTGACTTTAATCTTTGTCCTTACAGAACACCTGCTATCAAAGCCCTTAATGCCACGGGGCAGGCGAACCTCAGCCTCAAGGCCCTTTTCCAGGTAACTTGCAAGGCTGTGGCCAACTTTAAAAAAATCTTCCTTGAAATCCAACAAATGTGCTAAATGAAACTATTAGTTTTTTGTAATCCATTTGCAAAGTTAAAAAGTATCACATTTCTAAAACTTGTTTTTCAATATAGATTACAGTATTCATCTTCACCAGAGTCTTTCTGTGTGTTAAAAATAAAAGACATGATTGTAAATATATGTTCTTTTTTTAAAAGAGAAAAGAAAAAGAATTCATTTGTCTGTGATTCTGACTTCTTGAGATACACATAAATAAATGTTAGGTGCTAATTTTGTTCCTTCAGCTTTTCTACATGTATTTCTTTTACCTTTTAAAAGTGTTTATGATTTTTTTTTCCTATGCAGGTTTTGTCAGTGGTTCCAGTTTGCAACAAGTAAGTGACATATTATTCATATCTGTTCATCAGTCACCCCAAAATGATCTACCTCTCTCAGCCTCTCACTTTTTCTCACACACACACACACACACACACACACACACACACACACACAGAGCAGGGGTCTGAGGCTGCCTGTGGAGCAGATTTTCTTAGTGTTGTGGATACAGGAGTGAAGAAAACAAAGTCTCTGTTCTCTTGGAACTGTCGTTCTGCTGGGGGGAGGAAAAAGAAAGGGAAGGGACAAACAGATTTACCCTAAGTCAGTTGAGAAGTCCATGAAGAAAAACAAAGATAAAGCTGATGGAAAGAGCTGGAAGGAGGGCTGGCATGCCCATCCTTATCAGCAGAACTCCTGGAACTAAACTTTAGACACTGTTAGATCCTTGTCTTCCCAGGGAGCTTCTGCTATCCTTACACTTGTTGTGCAGAAAATTCAGTGTCAAAATTGATTTCTCTCTTTTGCCTGTCCCTGGTAGTGGCAGCTTCCTGTGAACGACCGTTTTTCTATCTATAGCCTACAATTTTACCCATGTACTTTTCTGGTGTGAAGTGCTGGGCTGTGGCTACCCCACCATAAAAAGCTCTTAGTTAAACAAGAGGCAGTCACAAGCCTTGTACAAGGAAACTAGAAGATCAATGTCACCATCACAGCAAAAGTGAATAAATAGACCGAAAGCTTCTCACGTCCTCTTCAGCGTGTTGCTTGATCCAGCTCATTAGGCTTGAAGACCGTTCCTTTTGCTTAGATAGGATTCAGTTTACAAAGTTAAAGAGGAATCACCGGCAAATAAATAGTCTTTTTTAAAAATATTGACTTAATTATGTATACAAGAATGGGGTACAGGTCACAGGTATGTGGTGGGGGACAGGATTCACCAGACAGAGTGGGGAGTATAACCGGCAGATCTGTTGAAACACACTGATGAGGGGAGCAGCTGGTGAGACAGGTGAGGTCTCCTGTGCCATGTGGGTCACCTCCCTGGCCAGGGATCGAGTTCGTGATGCAGTGGCTGCGATAGCTTCATAGTGCTGTGCTTTCAACACTTTTATTTTAAAAATAAGAGTTAAACACCTCTTTGTGTTCCTATAGTTTAAAAAAGTTATATAAATTTTAAATCTATCTATAAAAATTATTGTTACAATAAAATAGTTATGTTTATTTTAATAAAACATTTTTATGTTCATGAACAACCCTTATCATGTAAGTTTGCTGTATCGAGGCTAAGTGAATAATTGAATTACATATTGTCCAGCTGCTTGTTTTTCCAAGTTAAAATTCTGAAATAAACATATTGTACATTTCTTTCATTGCTTTTGGATGATTCCCTTAGCTGAAGTCGCAGAAGTAGGATGACTGTGAGAAAAGTTAGGAATGTTAAATGGCATCTAATGTGTTTTGTCAAAATAAAATCGTTGAAAATTACAGTTTACCAAATAGCACTTTCCTCTATCGTAAAACCTCTTCTAATGTATAATTGAAAATGCAGGCAAAACTGCACTTAAATAACAATCATCACTGAGTCAGAATTAACAGACCTGAATCTCAGGATGGTTAAATACAGTGATTACCTTCAACTGGGGCAGTTTGTGATGCGACACGTTAGCTGTTTGCTGCCCCCTTGTGCTGTGCTACAGAATTACACTCACGTGCAATTCAGAGCGATATGCAGAGAAAATAATGATGGAGAGTAGAATTCTGACTGAAGTAAATAAGCGGGGCCAGTTCATAGAAACCCCAGTACTGCTGGATGAGTTCTGCCTATGCTCATCGTGCTGAGTCCATGTGCTTGGCTCAGTTGTGGGGCCCAGGGCCACTAATTCAACAACAATGCAGCTTCTGATGCTTTGAGCAAGCACTCCAACTGGTGCTGAACATGAGGTAGCTGGAAGTAGCTGAAGCAAGGCGAAGGGAAGGAGACTCTGTGTGTGCACCTGTGTGTGCACTTGCGCTCAAGTTCTTTAGGCCTCTTGCTCTGCATAAAGCTGAATACGGTGCTTCTCATCCTTAGCTGAGTAGGTGAGTTCCCTGTCTTAACCTCTGCCCTTTCGAGCTCCACTCTAACCCTCCCTTGTTACAGGCAGTGCTTTGGGCCAGAGGCGTTTGCCCACCCAGAGTCTGGCCCAGGGGCCCAGGCCTCTGGAATTCTCAGCCTGAATGTGCCAAGTCCATTTCTAGGACCTGTGTTGGCCACATCCCTGGCTGATCTGTGCAGGCTGGACTCAGCCTGGTGGGTGGTATGGGGATGGCTGTTTGCTGGGTGTCGGGGACTGAGCCCACAAGGCTGAGGTGCCCATCGGTATCCCTCAGTGCTACAGCATGGCACTCGGAGGAGTCTGTGAAGTTTGAATTTGAACTTGGTCTTTTACATTGTTGTCAAAATAGGAGGAAAGAGTGCTTTTGCTGTGTGATCAATTGGTTTATAAATGTTAAGTATTCTGACAGGTGGGGAGCCAACTATATTTCCATCCTAGGTCACATGTAGGAGGGAAGGCTTGGTATTTTCCCTCTTTGGAATTTAGGGAAATGGTGTGTATATAAAAGTTCCTCTCATTATTTTCAGTAACACAATTTATACAACTGTGATGAGCGCTGCCAACCCAGACAAATACATGACTAGGATCAGACACCTGGGTGAAAAGTGAGTAGAAGACATAGCAGGAGCATAAAGGATTGGGGCGGGGTGGGGGGTGGGAATAATAATGATGAACAACTATATACCAGAGACATTTTCTGGGTGTGGAGTGGGGAATGGGATCAAAAATAGAGGGACAGGGGGAGAAGCGCCCTGGACTATGGTGATGGCACATGGGTGATTTGGTGGTGGGAAGCCCATGGGGATTGCAACTGAGATGGAAAAAGGCACAAAATGATGTAAAGATATAAACTATTAGAATAAAAAAAAAACATGAATAGAAGAATGATTTTATCAGTGCTAGGGAAGGTTTGCTGACATTGATTGTTGTTCTTGTGGGTTTGTGGGTTGTTGTTTTCAAGGTGGGAGGGGCATGCTGGAATTTCTCACAGAAAATGTTAGTGACCTTAACATTTATAATATAATAATTATTATAATATTTTTATACATATATAATGTTCTCACAGGTATCTGGCATGGGGTTGTTATTTGTACCTGATTAGTGTCACCATTAAATATTTCTGTGAAATTCTTTTTATGAAAACCAATCTAGTGCCCACTGCCCTTTGCCCCTTATTAAAACCTGCTCTCAGGGGGAGATGTCATTTCTTTGCATACATGAGGGAAATGGTGATGAGACTGGGTAATGCGAGGCAGGCCCTGCACGTTTGCAGGGAGAGAATGTTGAAGGCAAAGGATATGTACGGCATTTATCAGGTATCAGAGAGTCCTCAGGTGACAGTAAGGACACGAGGAAAAGTCAGGGGTCTTTTCTTTTCTCCCTGCAATTGAACCTTCTAAGCAACCACCTGCTTGTCGGACACCTTTCCCAAATGCAAGGACCTTTCTGGAATTTGTAAACCTGTCCTGATGTTCGGTTATTGACGTATCATGGAATGTTAAAAGTGAGTGTTTGAATTACATTCATTAATTTTTTTCTCCCTTTACAGGTGATTTTTTAAAAAATGAAATTCTTGAAATGCTGCCTTTAAAAGACAATATGGTGAGAGGATTGTATTTTATGAACAATGCCAACCCATTCCTCATTAAACGTTTGACCTGGTGAAGTGGGGCCAGGGAGGTTGTTTTGGTAAAGTGAGTAAGTAACTGAGCTGTACACTCACTTCCTTCATGGTTGCTTCCGTGTTTCTGAGTTTCTGTCCTGGCTTGAATAACTCAAAAGACAATTGCTCTCAGAGGTAAACCAGATCCTTGGACTTAGTTCCCACCTTCTCATAACTTTGAGCCATGTTGTAACACCGCAGCTTCTGAAGAAATGAGCTGGCAAGACCTCTTTGCTCATTTTAAAGAGCTTCTGAAAGTCAAGAGTCAAGTAAAAGGATCATTCTAAAAGAAATGGAGAACTCTACTTTGAATAGAGCTGTTTGTTTGTTAATCTGACCTTTGATCATGAAATTCCATATGATAGGTTTCTCACTTTTTAGAATTTCTTTGATGCTTTGTAAAAGAAAATGGATGGATCTTTTTTTCTAAATAACTACTTTCTTACTCTTTTTTGAAGCAATATGAAACCAAATTATTTCTAGTGTTAGTTACTATCAGTTAACAGAATGTTGAAAGATTTTGGCATGGCAAATAAACAAAATTTCCAAGTTATTTAGTGTCGTGTTCTCCCTACATTTTTTTTTAAAGATTTATTTATTTATGCATACAAGAACTGGGGGGTGTGGGGGAGGTGGGCAGTGAGAGGATTCACCAGATGCAAAGTGGGGAGCAGAATTGGCAGGTGGACTGAAATACACTGCTGGGAGGAGCAGGAGGCCGTTCAGGAGAGGTCTGCTGAGCCATGTGGGCCAGCTTACTGGGCATCAAACTCGGTGCTGCAGTGACTGATGATTGCTTCATAGTGCTGCGCTTTAACCCATTGCACCATTAGGGAGGCCCCAAAGTGATATATTATTTTGATATCACCCTCAAATAAAATAAAACAGGCATAAGCTTCCATGTCTTTTAATTATATTACCAGTAGCAATTCATATGGTTCAATCTCTTACACTGTATACCTTCAAAACATAATGCAACGATTCAGAGATATAAGGATTAATTCTTAAGCAGATATTATAGAAATCTTCAAAACATTACTTTCAAAGGTGGGCAGATTGGGAAGAATAAATAAGGATAAAAAGACCTTGAATAGCACAATTTACAATAAATTGACCTACTCAATATATGTAAATAAAGAGAATACATTTCTCAGCAAATTCCCATGGACAAGCTACCAGATACACATAAGAGTTTTAGATTAATTGAAAAGGTACATTATCTGGGAATAACAATGCACAACAATTTCTGTTACATCTTTAGGGGAAAGTATTCCTAAGAGGTGTAGACAAGTATGGGCTGGATGTTTCAGTCTCTGGGAAAAACCAGTCACTAGCATGATAGCCTTAGTCTGTGTGTCTGTAACAGGTACTCTTGAGCCCTGATCTGTCAGAAAAGCCCCTGGGCTCCCCGTCTTGTCAGCATTCTTCTATTTCTGGGTTAAGGAGCTCAGGTTTCTCAGAAGTGACTCAAGAAACACAGCTTCTAAATCCAGTAGAGTTAAGAAGGCTTAAAATGTGGGACCAGCTGGAGTGAGCCCTGGAGAAGCTGTCTTCAGAAGCTGGGTCTGGCTGTGAGGGAGACACCACACCCCACCCTCAGCAAGGCAATTTCACCCTGCCACCCTCCTGAAGGGACTAATCTGATCGAGATCAAGGAATCTGATCGAGATCAAGGGGAGTCTGCGGTTGTGAGGTGGAGTCCTGACCCCACCAGCATTGTGGGTTGCCTTCCTGGGAGCAGGTAGGCCTGAACAGGGCTGTGTTTTATTGGTTGGACTTGCAGGTTGGGGAGAGATCAGGTTACTGGAAATCCCTCCGCCAACTCTGAAGATTAGGCTGGGGATTGTGCCTTCCCGTTAAAGAGGTTGTACTTCCTGTGTCTCAGAGTAAAAAAAATCCAGAGAAGACAAGATCGGGTTTTCTAGCCTAAAGTGCAGAAGTGGGTGAGACCTAGGGGGACAAACTTAGATTCTACAGGGGAGGTGGGTCACACCTTCCTGGTCAGGTATCAAACTCCATTCTGCAGTGGCTGAGGATAGTTTCATAGTGCTGCACATTAACCCCTGCACCACCAGGGAGGCTCCCGTGATACAGTCTTTGAAACTCTGCAGGGCCTCCCTGGTGGCTTGGGGTTAAGTCTCAGCACTATCATGCCATCATTTCAGCCTGAGTTCGATCCCCCACCCGAAAGCTAAACCAAATGGCACACCAGACCTCTCGTCTCATCCACTGCTCCCCTCAGCAGTGTGTTTCAGTACATCTGCCTGTTCTGCTCCCCACTCTGTCTCTGGTGAATCCTCTCACCCCTGCATCTCTGGCCTACACCCCAGTTCTTGTATGCACAAGTAAATAAAAATAAAACGTTTAAAAGATAACAAAACTATCTAAGGGATCTTGGTTTGATCATGTTGGTTTCTCACTTTACCCCACACTCAGATTTGGGTTTCAGGATAGCTCTGCAGCTGGGAACGATTTATACACAAAAAGGGAGACCACATGCTTTCTTTTCTTTGACAATTTATTCAAAAAGCCAATCACCTTAAGCAGAATCTCTCAATTGAAATGCAAAGGAAAAGAAGCAACTTCTTGACAATCTCCAATACAGGGACCTTCAAAAATAGAAGAAAGGGTGTGGGGTAGAGTGAGGAAGGGATAACTATAGAAGTGGCCTCTGCTCTTGACATTAAGCGCATATACCTCCCATTGCCTCCTGAAGAAGCACTAGACAATGATTCATCTTTGTTGTGTAAAAATAAAAAATGGCATACAGTTTATTCAATCAATATTTACTGAATCTCTTCTATAACTCAGGCACTGTGCTAAGTCTTGGGGGATGAAATGATGGATTTGTTCATCTCCCAGTTTTCACTCTCAAGGAAATCACTGTCTAATGGTGGAGCGAAACAAGATGAAAAATGGTTATATGGCATTTCAGTGATGGCGATGTCAATAAAATACTTAGGAACTCAGAGAAGGAACTTGTCACGCTGACTTCGTTAGTGAATCTTAAAGAATGAATAAAGCCAAACACTCTTAGAGGAGTGGGGTGGAAGAACATTCCAGGTAAGAGCAAAAATACAAAGGTCATAGTGCTCAAAAAGCAGAATTTGAGGAAAGAGCAAAGATAAATGAGACAGGAGTAAGAGAAGTTCTATTTGAGGCACATAGAGGTGCTCCAGTGAGAGTTTAGCAGGAAGCTGGGTATATGGAGCTAATATCTAGAGATGGCTGGCCTGGGATGGAGGTAGAGTTATGCGAGTGAAAGAGATTGTTGAAAATGGCAAGTGTTGGCCCTCCCTGGTGGTGCAGCGGATTAAAGCACAGCACTGAGAAGCTAAAACCACTTCCGCATGAGTTCGATTCCCGCCTGTCCCGGAGGTGACCACATGGCGTGGCAGACCTCTCCCGACCCACCCGCTGTTCCCCTCAGCAGTGCACTTCATTGATCTGCCTGTTCTGTTCCCCGCTCTGTCTCTGGTGAAGCCTCTTGCCACCCCTGAGCCTCTGGCCTGTACCCCAGTTCTGTATGCACAAATAAATAAATCTTAAAAAAAAAAAAGAAAATGGCAAGTGTTGACTAAATCATCATGATTTGTGCAGAATGAAGAGAGCTGATATTTATGATTAGAATACAAATATAACCCAACATTTAAGGGGTGGATGGAGAAAAATAAACTTAAGAAGGAGAGAGAATAAATATCAGAGCAATAGAAATAAATATAAAAGCACTGCATCATGGAAGCTGTGGAGTATAGTTTAAATCAAGGCGTCACTTGTGGTGAAGGATGATGACCTTACTGTGCTGGCAAAGTAAGGACTGAAGGATGAAGGCGTTGAAGGAATCAGTGTTGGGAGTGACCAAAGATTTACTGACAAGGACTGAATTAGAGCGGTAAGGAATTGAGCCTTGCATCCAAGCTTGATAAGGTGGTAATAAACTGACCTTGTGTGCAGGATGGGACTAACTGAAAGTGATAGCGAACTAGGCCTCACATCAAGGACACAGGACAGTCACCCCTTTGGAATCTGAGTCTAGAATCTATATAGGAGACCCTTCCCCCTTATTGAAGGGGCAGTAGCTGCGGACCCCACCCTACGGGCTCCTCTCAGCTGCTGTCCGAGAGCAATAAACTCTGCTTGTTCAGCTTTTCTGCCTCCAGCCTTCCTTTCTTGCAGCCGGTCACAGAAGTTGGGACAAAACAACCAGTTTTTAACAATAATGAGGATTTTTTAAAAAGTTGATTTTAAGAGAAATTATTGAGAAACTATGTAGACTACTCAAGAGAAATCTTGATGTGAAAAAACCAGATTGGGGTTATTATGAGAGAGAGAGTCATAAATGATGAGGAGATGAGGAGGATGAGTGTCTGAGAACAGACTCCTGTATGTTTCTAGATTGGTAAGGAAAAGCTATAATAAGGTTGAAGATACAATAGAGTTGGGGCAAATAGAGGGAATTTTCAGGGCACTGCAATTTGTCAGCACTCACACTGAGCCCCGAGGCAAGGGAAGGTTCTCTCACACCACAGTCTCCCATTGTTAGGATGTGCAGAAAGCTGGGTCTACCTGGACTAACTACCTGCCTTAACCACCCTATTGCAGACTACTCTGTCCTTTCCCCACACAAGCAGTTCACTCTTCCTTGCACCTGCTACCGCATCCTGCAGAGACATTGCACTGACACTATGGGACGTGGCACTTCAACCCAACAGCAGTCTGCTTTCCAGAATGCATGTATGTACTCCCAGCCTCCACACGAGCTGCTGGTATCCCACAGCCTAGATTGCCCAGGGAGGGGCTTCCCGGGGTAGACACAGAATGCTCTTCCAGTTCTTTTCCAGCTGACTCTTGAAAATAGCTTTTCTTTCTTGTGACTTGACCACCATAATGCTCAACGGAAAATTTTAGGATTGGTGAGCTCTGTTTGACAGAATTCAAAGAAGTCCATTTGGACCATTGCGGTTTATCACAAACTACGCATGTACAAGAGTATGAGATAAGGTTAGGCAAAAGAGGATGGTACGTGTTTCAGGGAGAGTTATAACTTGTACAGAGGATCACATTCAACTTTTACTCAGGATCACAGTGTTTTTATTTAACAACCTTATTATTACACATTATCTCTTCTTTATTAAAAATCTTTTTCCCGAATGACATCCATTGGTACTTCTATTTTGTCTTACAAAGTCTAAATAATATTTTCAGATTAATAATCACATATTATAAATCTTACTGAAATAAGATTTACATATACTTTATAAACTCTTTAAAATTTCTCCAGTGCTTTTCGTCCTTCAGGTATTTCCACGAGTGCTATGCACAAAAATGACTGAATTTTCAAGTCATGTGAAATAATTTCTTTTTTTATGGTTATGCCACTGACTTACACTAGGTTAGATTTACTACTTTACCTTTTGCTTTTTAGATTCTATCTTTTCATTTTGATTTCAATTAATTTTATAATTTTGTAAGTCATTTCTACAAGCCTTGTTGTAATTCTATACTGATATATAACAAGTTAAAATCCCAGAACTTAGTGCCCAAGACAACCATTTTATTCTCCTTGTGATTTGATCATGCACATCAGTCCTTTGCAAAGGACACGGTCAGGTGCTTTATCTATAATGCTCTGAGGGGCTCCACTTCTAAATCAGCTCTGCACACAGTGCCTGGTGCCTCAGCGCCCGTGGCCTCTGCCTCCCATTAACCATGCTGCAGGCAGCCACGGAGTCTGCAGGATCTTCATGAAATATGACCTCAGCTCTCTGATGGTGACTGTGACTGAGGAGCATATACCTTTCTGGCAGTTCTTTGTAAGACTCTGTGGTATTGTTGGAGGAATCTTCTCGACAACAGGCATGTTGTCGAGGCATGGAATTGGAAAATTTATTGTTGAAATTATTTACTGTCGTTTCAGACCTGGACCCTACAAACCCATCAATTCTGTTTCTTTTGAGGATGGCCGCACAGACAACCACTTACCTCTTCTAGAAAATAATACACATTAGCTCCTCCCAAGTGAAGGAGAAAACCATTCTGCCTGAGACATAAAACCTTTTTTTAATAATAAAATATTGTGCAATGTATTCAAGAAAAGAAAATAAGAATGAGGAGCAGGAATCACAGCTCGAAATAATAAGAAGCACCCCCAACTGAAATCCCGTATATGTTGTGTCTGTTGAAAATGTCATAGAAGAAATTATGCAGCAAATCACTGAGAAAGCCCACCTGGAGTATTGCTTTGACGGGGTCCCCTTCTGATACCTTCACAGCACCTGGGAAGTATTGAAATCAGACCTTGCTTTCTGGTGACAGAGACCCTGAAGACGTAAGATCACCTCTAAAGAAAAAGGCATTTGACAAGTGCATATATTTGCGTCTTTTTGTTTTTAAAAGATATGATGTGAGCATAAAATATGTCAAACATAAAAAAAAAATGTGTTCACCTGCAGTTTTAACAGCTGGGTGTCCTTGAGCAAGAGGAACCCATGTAGGCCACTGGGTAGGAAAGGTGGTGGTGTAGACGATCTTAAACTATACTGAACTTCATAGCACCCACCTCGATTAAAGGTTTGGGAGGGAGCAAAAAGCAAAAGGGATGTTTCCTGCATTCCCTGCCCTAAGGAGCTGAAGCAGGCTGAGGATAGATGTCTAACTACAGCACTTGCTTTAACATAAGCTTCAGGAAAAATGTTAACAAATCCTTGCATGGAACCTTGATGGCCACAGGATTCCTCCATGCTGCTCACACTTCAGCTCAAATAAAAAGCAGGTGTGGAGCTTGTTAAGCCTGCACATTCCTGAGTTCCCTATAGAGATTACAGTTACAGCCCAGACACCTGGGCTTTTCTCGCAAGTTCCACAGCATTCACTGTGAACACTTCATTCACTATTCTGATTATGGATTTAAAGAACTCAATAAGTAGAGCTTCAATGCTGTCACTTCTTATTTAGTGATAAATAATAATTATACTGAGAAATACAGTATAACATTTTTTTTTCTCAGATGAAATAGAATTTAATTTATTTACATTTCTCCCAGGTTCTCTTTTTCAGTCCCACCTTGTCTTTCCTTGGGAAAATCAGTGACACTTCTATTAACACTTGAATGCAAGCTAAATATAGTAAAACACTCTGTCTACTGTTCACAAAGGTGACCTGAGTGAACCTGCAGTGCTTCCTTTTTAATCCGGCTTTAGCCACAAATACTCCATTCATCACCATGGCACATTCAGGCCTGGGAGCTTAAGAAGAATCTAGTTATTTATGTGGGCAGCTGGCCTCTTCTTGTCAACAGTACTTGCTCACAGGTCCTTAGACCTCACATGAAGAATTAAGCACAGTCATGCCATCCTGTGCCCTAGGGTCACCTAGAACCAGTCTTGGCAAGAGGGGAAAGCCAAGGGCTGCCCGGGGGGGAAGTGCGATGACGGGGGCACAGTAATGTTAACGGGGTGGCAAGCAGAGGACCCAGCAAGACTCAGCACCACCTAAAGCTGGAGTCTGCGTTATCTATGGCTATGTCTTTTCCCAGTCTCACTTAGTGCAGCTCCCTCTCTAGACCAGGCATCGAGGCCCAGGAAGAGGACTTGCCCGATGCTCCATAGCTGGGCAGGGCAGTTCCAGGCTGGGAACTGGAACCCAAGTCTCTTGACATCCAATCTACAGTGAAAATATCAAGATGTCCTTCCTGCCCTCCCTCCCCGGCATTATCTCGTTCTCCAAGGAAGCTACATCTTTGCAGCCTCTCCCATTTATACCTTCTCGGAATCCTGGCTCTCACCCTTTCCATCTCCACGCACACAAACAGAACCTCCATAGGTGGGAGTTCCACTCAATCTCCCATGTGTTAGTGTAAGTTCCAGCTCAAAATAGAGGAATGGGGGCGGCGAATCCTTCCTTCTGGCAGCAGTGGGTGGTGCTTTCCCACCATCTTGTCCCTACATTACAGGGAACCCCCGGGCCCAGGCAGCTCATGGACTTAATTCTCCATCTGTGTCACAGCTGCCCTGATCCAGAGGTGGTACCGGCATTACATGGTGCATCTGGAGATGTGGCGGCCTTGTACCTGGAGCATCTTCCAGTCCATCGAGTATACTGGGCAGCAAGACCCAGGTCAGGGTCATTATTAAGGAGTCGAGTGGGCTGCCTGCCAGCCTGCACAGCCAGTCGCAGGAGCTCAGAACGGGTGGCTGACCTTCCTGTGTTCTTCTCACTCGTCTCTAATGTCAAGTCTTTCCTCTTTCTGCAGCTCCATGATTTCTTCAACTACCTCATGGATCACTTCACTCCCAGCAGCCACAATGAGAGTGAGTGTGAACTGCCAAATGGTGTGTCCTTCAGTCTCAGGGTCAAAGAATTGGGGTGACCCAATTCTGGAATGAGTGAGGAGGCAGATGAATAAATGACAGTGGAAATTTATGCCCGTTTTATCAGGGACAAACATGAGCACAAGGAGTTATTTACTACCAGAAACAGTAAGGGCTGGGGAGGGAGAGAGGAGGGTTTAGGAAACAAAGAGGCCAAAAACAGGTAACACCAAGGGTCTAGAAATAATACAAAGCATACCTGGGAGTTATTCACCTGAAGGCAGAGGGAGCTGGAGTCTACACAACTCCTGAGAGTCCCCGTTGAAGGCTCGGCACTGGCAGAGAGGAAGGGTTCACTCCAGGACCTTTCAGGGCTAAGGAAGAAAGCCCTCAGGCTAGAGACAAAGGGCAGTAGGTGGCAGTCATCTGAGGGGGACTAATGACATCGTGGCCCTAAATTTCTATCCCTTCTAAGTCAATCTTTTCAAATAAGGTAGAATGGAATTGAGACCTAAAAACATAAGGGACTCTCTGGTAGCACAAGGGGTTAAGTCTCAACACTATCAGCTGTCAGATCTATTGACAGCCAATCTACAGTAAAAATATTGAAATGTCCCTGCAAGGCTACATCCTTGCAGCCTGTCCCCGTTTACACCTCCTACTTTGAGTCCTGGCTGTCAAACTTTCCATTTCCACACTCACAAATGCGAGAGAGCTGACGCACAGGGCACAGCAGACCTCTTCTGTCTCTCCTGCTGCTCCCCTCAGCAGTGCATTTCAGTTCATCTGCCTGTTCTGCTCCCCGCTCTGTCTCTGGTGACTCCTCTCACCTCTCTGCATCTCTGGCCTGTACCCCAGCTCTTGTATGTATGAGTAAATACAATCAATCTTTAAAAAAAAAAGAAAGAAAGAAACAACTGGTTCCTCCTGCCCACTCTAATATGTCATCCCTCTCTCCTTTCTCTTCTCCACTTTCTATCCCACCAGGGGCCCAGACTGGCTAGGCCCTTCTACCGGCCTGGGGTGGGGAGAGACTTCTCAGTGATGCCGCAAACTATGGAACTGATTCAGTAAATGGGCTCTCAGATAAGCATTTGCGGATTTGCCTCCTTTGACCAATTTATGATGAAGCTGGTTTTCCCAGACCTCTTAATTGTCTGTGGGTTTACTTATTTTCTCTCCTTTCCTTGCAGTGTCTCTTCTTCTGACAGGTTTAGGGCCAAGGAAAGGAAATCCCAAACAAAAGCAAATAGTGAAAAAGCTC